TGAGGAGGGTGTGCAGATCCCCCTGGGGCTGATGGCCCTGGTCCGCCGACACGGGTGTGGAGCCCGATGCCGTGCTCATCGCCGTGTCGGCGGTGTGTGACACACCGTCGGCCATGGGGAGATGACGGACCGGACTGGAGGGGGCCAGAAGAGGTCCGCGTGAGCGGAGGGCGTAGGGGGAAGTCCGCGGTAGAAAGCGGCGAACGGCGCTAGCAAGGCTACCACGGACGCCGTTGAAGGAGGAGGGGTGGTTCGGGTCCAGGGTGCCCGAAGAGGACGGGGAAGTAAGGGGGGGTTGAAGAGCCCTAAACCCTACAAAAACCCTAAGAAAACCCTAACTGAGGTTTAAGTGGTTAGGGTAGGGTATCGGTGACCTAATCAAAAAAATAAAAGAGCAAGCATAGGGGGGGGAAGGCGGGAGAAAAATAAATAAACAGCGAGATTTCAAGAGAAAATAAAAATAAATAAGGAAATAAATAAATAATAAAAATAATTAAAGAAATAAGTAAAAAGATGTGAAGGGAAAACAATATTTATTTTTTGAAATTTTTCGGCAGCATTTCCCTACCCCCCACGGGGTCAAGAATGTGCCAAGGGGAAGGGAGAGACCAAGGTGAGCACACTAGGTGTCAAGATGCCGCAAGTAAAAAAGAAATTTCAGAAAATAAATAAAAAAATAATAGATAAAGAGATAAATAAATAAATAAATAAAGAAGTAAAAAGTGGATGAGGAGGTGGGGAGGAATGAAGTATCTAATTTATCAAAAATTTTGGCAGCATTTCGTTTCCCCCATGGGGTAGAAGTGTGCCGAGAAGACTAAGTGAAAGAACAAACAGAAAATTTCGGCAGCACTTCGTTACCCCCACAGGGTCAAAACGTGTGCCGAAAGTAGTAAAGACTAACACCTAATCAGATTTAGGGTTGCCGTAAAGAAAATCGAATTTTCAGACTAAATAGAAAGAAAATCGAATTTTCAGACTAAATAGAAAAATAAATAAAATAAATCAGAAAATGAGAAAAGAAGGTGGGAAAGAAGATATTTCGAATTTTTGGAAAAGAGAAAAGATAAATCAAGAGAGAGATAGAA